TTACTAAAGATTCAATATTAGGGCTGAGCTAATTGATTTGAGTCTGGAATCCCTTACCGCGCATATGTCTGTCATGTTTTACCTGAGGGGCATTCCACGTCAAATCGAACAAAAATCGGCTGTTTTGCACCTTACCATCAGCGATTTCATTATAAATTTGTGAGCGAGTTCCTGTGTGGCCCCGGACATAACATTGATGTTTTTTGCACATTCTGACCACAGGTCTTCTAAATATAGGGCATCAAATTTTTACAAAATGTTGCATCTTTATATTTTTGAACGACCATAACTTTGGTTGTACTTGTTTGATTTGAATGAAATAAACCTTACTGTTTAGGTAATTTCTTAAGCATTTGTTTAGAATTGCACTAACTTAATTATATGACCTTGAAATTTGCTTAACTCTGTTCTTAAGCACAAATATTGAAATAGCAAAAAACACGTCACCTTCGATTTGGCTCATTTTCATATATTTTATTCAATACTATATTCTTAACAACCTGTGAAAAAATTAGAGTGGGCTAGAGGTCTGCACCGGCCGGCTGCAGCCGTGGCTGGCTGCAGCCCCACGGCTGTGGGCCGGGGCGGCTGCAAATATCTCCAAGAACACGGCTACGGCTGTGGCCACGGCTGTGAGATTTCCAGCTCAATCTTAAGTACTAAAATATAAAATTTTAAATCCTTAATCTTACATTCTAATAAGCAGTCTAGCCTGTAAAAATCATGCAAAGGATGCCCAGCAACATTGAAAGTGGTGAAGCCTTTGAAAACCTGTAATGGTTTTACCATTTGCTGTAGGGGAGTTTGCACTCTGGTACAGAATACTAATTATAGGTACCAATTGTTCCTTCATCATCAAGAGCTTGACAGTTTCAGAAAATGCAACATGCTGCATTGTCACATCCCTCTCAAATCAATCTCACCTGGTCATTAGGAAAGCACCTTACTTACAGCTATTGAAGACGAGCGTTCAATAATTCTTTCAGGTAATAGAAAAAGAAATCACACCTAGGTAAAGGCAGGTAAAGGCTTCATAAAATATTATCTAAAATAACTCTTAGAAGTAATTCTGGATTTTCGGCAAGATTACATAATATAAAACTGGCGCTTTATGTTCTAACTGGTGTGTGAGTGACCGCTAACAGAAAATGCTGATCAACGGAGCCAATGGAATTAGATTATAAGTGAGCATGAACCTTACTTACAGTTAATTCACATGATGGTGAAAACCTTGAACACGTAATTCACATGACGGTGAAAACCCTGAACACAATATTTCTTACACGAGCTGTTGACTTTACTAAAAAAATGACGTCTTCTTCTGAAAATGTTTAAATTTGATGCCTAACCGTTGTTTGAGAGCAATGTTTTAACTATATAGCATTATTATTTAATAATTATTATTTTTATGGCTGTTTATAGTGACAAAAAACAATTTATTGCCACTTCTTTGCTATTGACGTCATTAAAAACTCCATTAAATTCTTGATTGAAAGAGGCAATTGTGGCTCGCACGTCCTTGGGGATTTGAGCGAAGATCATTATTTGGAAAAATCAAAATAGATGAACGTTTTTCTTTCTTGGATGCTCAGTAGTGTTTTGATGCCTTGCATATCAAAATAGTTTGAGACTTGCTCAGAAGGCTGCTTCAAGCCTGGCATATCACACCCCAGAAAATATGCAAGGTAAGAAAGAAGCAAGAGTTTTGACTAGACTATCACTGTTTGACAGTCCAATGTCCATCAACTTCAGTTTCATTTTCCATACCTAACATTGATAATGAAAAGCATCAGGGTCTGTTGTTCTGTCCCACAACCATGCTTCAGGATTTGGCATTAGATGTCTACACTGCTAGTGCTTCTATTCTGGTTCGTTGTGTATGTTTTCTGTTGATGTAGGTACCTATCTACCCATCTTTCTTAACCCCTTGCAAGGGCTTGTGTAGGCATGCGATGCGCATCAGGCTTCAGGCCTTCGGCCTAAAGCCAGATACACAACCACTTAACCTATGATGCTTCATGAGCTTGAGAAACTATAGCCCATTGCAATGCGCTTTTGGCTATATGTTTGAACTAAAAACAACTTATTATATACTATTTGGTTGCATTTCATTGAAAGTATCCACGGCCGGCTGACGGCTGGCTGCCCACAGTTTGACACGGCTGTGGGCGGCTGTGGCTGTGGAGCCACGGCTGCGGGGCGGCTAGGCTGTGGAAAATTGCAGCCGTGCAGAACTCTAGAGTGGGCCATTCATAAGTTTTGAAGAAAATTGCACATATGCAAACGTATGTTAGCACGCGCAGTGGACGGGGAAGAACGAATTTCGCCCACCCCTCCTGTTTTTCGCCAATATCTCATAAGATTAATGCGAAATTAATTATGGCTACCTGTCAATAATTGAATTGGGCATCTCATCGTGCAAGCAATAAGAAAATCGGTTCACAACTGTTCTAGTAATAGCGGTGTAAAGTGAACATCCTGTCGCCGCAGCAACGCGGCGGCTCGGCAGCCGGCGCCGACCGCTACGCGCCGCCTGAATTGTAGACTGTGCCGGGACGGAACGGAACGGTTCCGTCTTTACATCGCGCTCCCTACCGCTGATTACGTTCGATTCGTGTCAAATTTTGTGAGAAGACTAAGAAATGTACAGGCAATCTTATGGTGAAAGAATTTTGAAAATCGGTTGGTAAACAATTGAAATATGAACGTGTAAACACAAAATTGTGATTGCTGCGTTTCCCGCATCGGCCGAGCCCGCCTCAGCCGGCGACATGTTACTCTTAGCAGGCCTCTAACTGCCATATTTATTATTGGATTAACTAGAAATTCCCCATACATACTAAAAAATGTATGTTCTTTCGTATAGTGGAGATCAAAAGACGTGAAAATATCGTAGCGTGATAATGTTTTCGTTGAATTTACTTCATGATGCATTTCCACACGGCTCAAAATTCACCGCAAAATACCGTTTGCCTGAGACACTTTTACATACTATGGAACGTGAATGCTTGACTACGATGACTATGCATTTCCATTCTCGCAGAGTTTGGGATATCACTAATCAGCAATCATTCATTTCAGAAAGTGTACACAAGCAAGCATGTCTTGACTCTGTCTTTCAAGGTCACGCGCGGTTGCGTGATGTTGATGCATGAAAACGGCGTTTGCCGCGAAAGTTATGAATGGCCCACTCCAATTTTTTCACAGATGGTTAGGAACATTGTGACGGACATAATATGTAAAAATTACCCAAATCGAAGGTGACGTGTTTTTTGCTATTTAAATTTTTCTGTTTTAATTCAAGGTCAAATGCATTTCAAGGTCACTTCAATTTAATTTCATAATTAAAAATCAAAGCCTTATCAATTGCCTATAAGACCCTGTTAATATCATTTTGATACCAGAAAAGGAACCAGAGTTATAGCCATTTAAAAAATTGATGTGTGGCATTTTTCGCTATATTCGATGACCTATATCTCAGCGATACGTTATCAAATTTTGAAAATATTATACGTAACTCAGTTTTGAACCATGCCCAGTCTGCCTACAAATTTTCAGAAAAATCGAAGGGGATGACGGATTTCGGTGTTTGATTTGACGTGGAATGCCCCCTGAGCAGCTGTCGTGTGAGCCTGTTGTATGAGATCTTATTTTTTGTGCATTTTTGGATGACAGTAGGCATGCACTTACTCGTTTTTTAAGTAATTGCGATATTTTTATCAAAATCCAGTGTCTTGTTCAAAACAAAGCGTCAAGTGTTTTCAAAAAGCAAAATATATATCAAAAGTACGCTTTTATACGATGGGCTGCAGCCTGCATACAGCTGGCGCCCGGCCATCAGCCCGGCTGTCAAATGACTGAAGGTAGACTGTGCCGCACGACAGCACTGCTCAGCGGTACAGCCTGCCCTTCAGGGGCCTTCTACGTGTCGGCCGCGCGGCGCCGCTTTACTGGCATGCTGCCAGCCTTGTGGCAGCTTTTGGCGCTGATGCCTGATGATCTGGAAAAGAGTTTCTATTCTTTGTCTTTATTCCTACAAGACGAGTTTATACAATGCCTGACACGCTTTTATAACACTCCTAATCAACACAAGGGGCTACTGGACTGTTACGACCGGTGTCTATCTACCATCCCTCTCTCATTCACCCCTCTCTCTCCCCTCTCTCTCTCTCTCTCTCTCTCTCTCTCTCTCTCCTCTCCTCTCCTCTCCTCTCCTCTCCTCTCCTCTCCTCTCCTCTCCTCTCCTCTCCTCTCCTCCGTCGAAGACTCGGCCCGCCCATCCTTCCATGCGACTGGACGTGACAACAGCGGGCGGCTGGCGCGAATGTGACGCTCAGCGGCGCTTTGTGACGCGCCACTGCGCCGCACCTGCCGCAGAGACGGGTGGCGCGCGCCACAATGGCTGTCGACAGGTGCCGCCTCTGGCGCGACCAGCCATTGTGCTCGGCGGGCGGTAATCGATGTCGGGTCCGGGATGCTGGCTCCCGCGGGATGTCCCGTCCGCTGCGGACCGAGAGAGCTGAGCGGACGGGCCGGCTCAGGAGAGCTGAAGGGACCGACTAGCTCAGGAGGAAGGGGAGCTGAGCGGGCTCAGGAGAGCTGAAGGGACCGACTAACTCAGGAGACAGGGGAGCTGAGTGGACTGGCTCAGGAGACAGGGGAGCTGGGCGGGCTCAGGAGAGCTAAAAGAACAGACCGGCTCAAGTCAGGAGACAGGAGAGCTGAGCGGACCTACTGGGTCAGGAGCTCTGAGCAACAGCTACTGAGCTGAGCAACTACAAAAGCTACTGAGCTGGACAACAGTTACTGGGTCAGGAGACAGGGCAGCTGAGCGGACGGACTGGCTCAGGAAAATAAAAAGCTGATGTAAGAACGTCGTTTATAGAAAAAAAAGGTTTTAGATGTTCATTTACTCTTTTCCTGAAAACTTGTCTTTCCCGGAGAAGAGGCAAAAATACGCTCTCGAAAGTTCCGTTCGGATGCAACACCGTGTAGAGGACGCTGATTAAATGTTGCCAATCATCATCAGCGGTGAATCGGGACCATGCTGTTGCATTGCACACTTTCTTAAAGAGTGCGATAGGAGTAGAGAATGCAAGCAACTGTAAACGAGCTCAGTTTAATAGCGAGACGAAGCGAGGACCCCAGACAGAGATCATCTCGAGACACCTTTCATTTTGCACCAATATGAAACGCCAAAATGTCTGCCAAGCCAAACAAATCGAGCAACAAACGCAAACGAAACGCATATGAAAGCGAACGAAGACAGTGCAAACCTTTGCTATCATTGCAAAAAATGTTCGAACGACAAACGAAATGTGCTTATAAATTAAGTTAAGCTTTGATACTCCTGTTTACAAATATTGTAGTGGTCGTAGAGTTGTGCTCATTTACCACCGATCAAAATCATAGCCGATTAACTCCTTGTTGATGATTCTCCCTGTCTACGTATCCAGGAAGAAACCAAATCCCGAAACATTCGAGGAACTTCCAGGAATCAGAGAGACGATGTAAGTAACATATTCATTTATTCCTAACTTTTTTCAATGAGTAGACAAGTAAAATATGCTCAAGCGAGACGTATTCAAGTGGCGTACCTACTCGTAATAGGCTTGAGCTTCTAAGCGCAGTAAAAATGTTTCACGCTGCATTTGTTTCAAGTGTTTCGATCTCTAAAAGCTTGCACATATTATCAAAATTATTAGATTAAATGCGTGTAGTTTCCTTTTAACGAGCAGTTATAGAAAATCCCCTGGCACGTAAAGGGGGTCGAACAGACCCTCTCGGTTTTGCACCAATAACACACTTAATTAAGCGGTGTAGGTATCGAGACAAAAGTGTCAGTACCTTGGAGATCATCTGCATGACACCTTCCGGAAAATGGTATGACCGTGATCCAAATGACCTTTCACCAGCGACCTGTTCCTGGAGACCATGTTTAGCCAGAAAAGAGGTTCGACGTGAATGCTAGCGCAGTACAAAGCGCACATCATCTGAGCGTTTCCAGTTTTTTTTTTTTTGTAATGAAGAAATGCCAACACAACATCCTGTTGCGAAGCTGTCAGTACTGTTCCCTTGGATCAGGTAGCTCGCGGAAAGCCTGTCACTTAAAAAGTGATAGTAGGCAAACCTACTGGTTGACTAAATATTGAGTGACCCACCCCAATTGCATGAATAGATATTCTGGTCAAGACAAATTAAAGTTCATAATTGAAATAACGGAAACCCTTATAAAACCCATATCGAAAACCTCGGCAGGCTACGACATAGATAACATGAGTAACAGATTCCTGTTATCTATGGTTACGTTTACCTATCCCGTCATTTGGACCATCGACATGAGCTGGAAGGTTACCCAATAACCTCCAAATGGATATCATCAGTTTCGTCAAGGGCAGAACGCTCGTTATTTCGAGAAAATATAGCTTTATCAGGAGCCGAAGTCCGAACGGCTAGAGCACACCGGTCAACTTATACGGCCTTGCACCGGTCGGGGTCGAGTCTTATAATCCGACTGATAGCGCGTAATGTGCAGATATTATTTTTATTATTGGAGGCATCCTAAGAACTTATTTGCACACCTTATGAGTGGACGGGTACCGTATTCCGTGATGGAGAAAGAACGAAAAGATGTGGTTTAAAACATATGAACGGCACAATAAACTAGGATTTACAGTTTCATTCTATTCAGCTAGTCACAGCCATATTTTCAGGCAAATACACGCATTTCAGAAGCAGCTAGATTCAACTGAAATGGCTTTTCAGCTCGCGGCTCTTCAGTGAAAGCGAAGTCTCATTTCCATTTAGCCCTTCACCCCAGGGAGATTCTGCAGGCTGCGGCATTTGTGTGCCGACGAGCTGCGGCGTCGGCAGCCACTCGCGGTTGCCATGGCGACCCAGCTCCGATTGGTGGTCGATGCTGCAAGGATGCGCAGGTGTCAGCCGCTAATGGCCGTCGCTCGACGTCGTGGTCCCACTGTGCGCAGCCAGGCTGCAACATTGTCACATTGCCCGGGGCAGTTTGAAAGCGGCAGTGACCGAACACAGGAGTTTCATGGTGAGCATTGAGGGGTCTAACAATTTGGAACTGTCGGACGTGGGTGAGGTTTGCTGTTCGGTGTGATTTGATTCGAAATGCGTTGAATCGTGCAATGTTTCGATTGAGTATAGGTCTGCCATGCCATGTCGCCTTCCGTGTCCTCTCTCCTCCCCTCAGCCCTCCCTGCCATGTCGCTCTCCCCTCCTCCGTCCACTGCCTGGGTGACAGATGGCCTTTGCAGGGGAGGCTAAGGCCCTTTAAAGTGCGGACAAACTACTAATGTGCTCCTAATAGACTCAGGAGACCTGTAATAGATTTGTCGGCCTTAATGAGGGTCGGGATTTTGTACAGTAACAGATAGAGGGGCGTTCAAAGCGCATCGCTCGGGGGTGTGCCCCCCGGGGGGCCGGCGAGAGGGGGCGCCGTGCGCCAGAGGTGTCATCCGATGGGGCGCTAATCCGCCGCCGAGCTGCCGGAAGAATGGAGCCGCGAGTGCAGCCATTGTGCGCCGCGGTGCCGCGATAAAGGACGACATGTGCGCGCGACAGGGGTCCACGCCGCGCCGGGCCGCGCCAGGCCGGCATCCCCGGGACGGCGGCGGACCGGCAGGCGGGGCGGCGTCGGCAATCCCGGCCTGCCCCGGCCCGGCCGGCCGACCGCATCCCCTCTGAGCGACTGCCGCGCGCAAACATACATTATTCATCGCTGGTAGATTGTTTGCAGAGATAGAACGCTGCTTGTGTTGGCGGCACGCGGCCGATGTCGAATTAGGTGTCGATGAATACCGATGACTGCGATAAGTGTGTGTGTATGGCAGCACAGGTGGAGTGGTCAGGGGTGGTGCTACCGGCCCGTGTGACGACTGGCTTTACGTAGTTGACGGCGACGCTTGTAAGCAGTGATGGGATTTGCGAGCCACTCAATGACTGTATCAGGAGTTTGAGCGCGGCGAGGTTTGTTTGATCGCGGCGAGGTTTGCTCCTCTTTATCAACTGAACTGACCTCTAGTTGACCTGTTTCAAACGCTGCAACTTGTGAATGTTGGGACTCCCGATTGCATGTAAATATTCCTTCTATTCAAAGTTAAAACAATTTTTTAGTTTAATACCCATTCTTGTTTTCTAAATCAAGCAAACAACGATTTTCTACCCGTTTTATATGCTGGCTTGCGTTGCGTTTCTAGAGCAAACCACTTTCTAACAGATGGATCTAGAAAGAAACAAACGGATCAAAATTTATGCAACATTTCAACATTGGTAATACCCATCAATAAAAGGTGAAGATGTGCTTCTATAATGGTGATCGCAGCTGACGGCAAGACATTTCATCATTTGAATATTCACTATATAAGCCTTTAAAGTCTGAGTTCAACAACCTTTGCTGTCCTCCACTGCAGTTAGTTCATCATTTGTTGGCGGGTTGCAGGCGGCGCTGGTCGCTCTGCTAGCTTGTCTGGTATGGGGTGGTCCTCTGTTTTATCGTGAGCTCCGTTCGTTGGCAGGCTGCAGGCGGTGCTGGTCGCTCTCCTAGCCTGTCTGGTGTGGGGCGGTCCGTCCACCGTCTCCCCCGACTCACAGGACAGTGAGGGAGGCGGGTCCGACTACAGTGGAACGGTACTCGCCAGCTCAGAGGACGTCACGCAGCACCTGGAGGGAGCCATAGATCCACAGAGCGTGACCAACCTCACAGAGGACGAACTCAGGTGAGTGGCCAAAGGCAATGGACGAGACCTTTGGTCATAAGCAGGCCGTACGGCTATGGACCAGGGACGGGTGGTAAGGAATAAATACATGAGTTGCCCCATCTTCCCCTAAAGCTAACAACTGCCTTATAATTCGGCAGCCGCTAGGCCAATCAACTTACTGACTACTGTCCTCTTCCATCAACAGGGTGTCCCAAAAGTTCGTTCTCACCTAAATTTTACGTTTTTAGGCTCTCTTGCTTAAAGGCACGCTGAAATTGGTTCGTAATTGAGCTTACGTGGTTGCCATGGCTAGTAGAAATATGCTCCACAGTAGCTAATTTCTGTAGACAAAATAGTTTTTGCTAGAGAGCCCGCTTCCTACAGAGACGGCTAACGCCGCAACATAGAGGTCTCTGATACGGGTACGTCTCAGTATTTAGTCAGCACGTGACCATTCGCGACGATTGAGGGTGATTGAGGCCTACCAGTCTGCAGCCAATGTCCATCGCTAACTGGACGCACAGTCAGCAAGTGACGCCGATGATTTGTCGGGAGTTAATCACTGCAATTTTATCCTCTTTCCAGTCAGCCCTCAGGAGTGAGCCAAGTGGCCAAAACTGTGTGGCGCCAAAGTGGCCATCAAAAAGGTCAACGGGTTAGAAAGTTGGTAAGCAGACTTTTCAGGATGGATTGCCAGCTGTTTAAGAGTGTTCTTTCGGGGTACATAACTCAAGGTGACTTAAGCTTTGCTTACCGGAGGGCACAAAACAGTCAAAAACGTCTTAAAAACTGGCCAAACATGAGTTTCGTTATGCCTTAGGCTAAACAAAACTAGAGGGCTGATGACATCAACCAGGTCATCTGGACTAACTAGTCCACGTTCGAGATGAAACACCCGTCCAAACCCGAAAACAACCCCATAAGGGCGAAGGAGGAGGCCTCCGTTTCGTCCCGTTATGCTCCTATGCAAAAGGCCAGGGTCACTGTGTTGTGGGATTATAGGCTTTCTGGAGTTGACCAAGCTGCAAGTGGCAACCCAGAAACAGTTTTGGGAAGCATAATGCTTTTCCAAGAACATCTAGGAGGATTTTCAGCCCTCAAGCTGAACTCGAACCGCGAGTATGAACACATTTATAGAGGAGAAAATGGCATCCGGGAGGTCGTAGGCCCATCTTCAGGCAAGACAGTGCATCAGTGCACAGGTCAAGCAAAGCTTAAAAGCGGTGCAAGGAGACTGTGACAGGCGTTTGTGGCAAGATCACATGCCAGGCACTTCATCGGATCAAAATTTCATAAAAATTTGTTGGTTATGCTGCAATTGAGGCTCGTCGAAGCGTAGCGCTGTTCCAGCCTCGAGGAGCTCGAGGCGCATGTCAAGTCAGTCTGGGTTAACTTAAAGCCTGCTATGCAGCCAAACATGCCGGTTGGCATGCCGCTGCATGTATTCATGTGTTTGCCTATTAAATGGGGAGCACATTGAGGGGTCATAAACATATCAAAACGCAATGTACTCTGTTTCACACGCAAACCTGGTTAGCCATGATGTCGTGCTCAGGAAACTACTGGACCAGCAAGTTCGTCCCTCCATCGTGCCTACAGTAGCCAGCTTCCTCAACGAGCGGAAACAGGTCGTTCGACTTGGTGGCTCGAATCCTGTCTCATCAGAGCTCACTACCACGTGTGGAACGCCCCAAGGGACAAAAATCGCCCCGATTGCATTTTTGGCTCATATAAATGACTGCGCAGTTACCGAAAATCATCGATGGAAGTATGTGGACGACCTCAGTATCGGCATCCTGTCTCCTGCAAGAGATGCAAACATTGTCCTTCAGAAAGCCCAGACGGCCGCATCCACTCTGGAAACATGGTCAGAGAACAATCTCATGAAGATCAACGGAAAAAAGTGTCATGTACTCATCTGCAACTTCTCTCACAACACGGATATGGACGGCGCAGTAATCATTAACAACGAGCCAGTACCTGTCGTCTCTACCATGAAACTTCTCGGAGTCCATATTACTTCTGACTTAAAGTGGACGGCAAATACAAATCATATCACAAAAAACGCCTCTCGCAGGCTGTTCATGCTCACAGTCCTCCGTCAGTTCCATGCAGATCTGAGCGATATCCGCGCCGTCTACATCAGCTTCATTCGTCCATGTCTGGAATACTGCTCTCAACTGTGGCACACGGGACTGACACAGCAACAAGCACAAGCAATCGAGCAAGTTCAGAAAAGAGCTTGCAAAATCATGATAGGATACGAAAACTACACCGACTACGCCTCTGCCTGCCAGCTCCTCAACCTCGAGACTCTGAGCGAGCGTCGCGATGCTGTCCTCTGCAAGCTGGCGGCCGACATCCTCGCCAACCCCGCCCACCCACTGTACCCGGGCGAGCAGCTGGCAAATGTGAGGCGCCCTCTGCGCCGGCAGCGAAAGTTTGTCGTACCGCGGGCCAAAACTGAGCGGTATAAAAAGTCCACTGTGCCTGTACTCATAGATCTAATGAACAGGATGTGATCCCCACGTAGATATGTTCGGAGCTCTTTTGAAATGCACTGTGTTTTTAATTTTTGTGATGCTTTTCACTTCTTCATGTGGTGCCACCATTGCACAGCTCATGTACGGCCTTTTTACCAGTCGTTGACTGTCACGTGGTCAAATAAACCTTTATGTATGTATGTATGTACAAACATAATGTGAGAACGAACTTTTGGGACACCCTGTACATAAAAAATCCCTTCAATCATAAAATCAACTAATTTCGATTCGCATGCCTGGTTTACACGGCATGTGTCACATGCAAGCCAAGGGTGGCAAAATTTTTCCAATTACAGCACATCCACATTGACTGATCTGAATGCGCTGAAACTTAGCATCGCGATAAGTTTTAACAACTAAAAGATGCATTTTGACTAGCTCGAGCTCATCTCGCGTAAGTAGCCAGTAAAGGCCAAGTGCTAGCGTAAGTGTAGCGCACAACTTGCAAGGGTGCAAGCGCAGGGTGTCGTTTTTATAGCTCACAAACGGTTGGGCTTACATAATTTTCACGCTCAAATTTCGTACCTAAGCCCAATCTTACCAATGCCGTAAATAGGATTTGGCAGCACTGGTCGGAGTTCACGGCACTGATATCAAATATATCATTTTTATTTACATCCAGCTAATCTTGTCCAATGATTTTAGTAGCGTGAATGATTATGAATGTTGCCTAAACGAATGAATAAAAGAATGTGAAATAGTTCTGAATATGCATTCCAGCATCTCTGGGCTTAAAAATGCATCAAATTCATAAACGAGGGTGTTTAAAATTGCGGCACCTCACACTTCTAATGCATAGATACTAGCAACAAAAGAGACAGGCAAGAAAAAGACATAGGACCCGCTCATCTTACTTACTTAGGAGTTAAGTAATCCTTGCTCACTCTTTAAAATTGCTCTTTTGCGGATGACTACCAACTTAGGTACACAAATATTTCTGTTAAGCTTTATCTGGAGCATTGCTGGAAGAAACAATCGCTGACATTGAGGGTCATTTAACAGTCTTCATTTTTTTTATATAACAACTTCCTTGCAAATATCCTTCAAATAGCGAAAAAGAAGTCAAAAATGTCACGGTAAAACGAAACAACCATGAGTCATCTGCGAAAGGACCTCCCCAGAAGTCGCCCTCCTCAGGCCGTCCTCTCTGCTCCGCTCTGATTGGTCGGAGTTTCCGTCTCTGGCCTGTCCCTGGCTGGGGCGCAGCTGTGTGAGACGTGAGCCACCGTCCGCCGGCCGCTCCTTGGGGGACGCCGCCACAGACGAGATCAATACGAACCGTACCGCCATCTGCGCCCGTCTGGCGCACAGACAGATGTCTTCAGACGCCGCGAACGCCGTGATCGAATACTAGAGCGGGCCTACAGCTGCGCTACCATTCAACCATTTAGTTACTTGCTTTTAGCTTGCTTACTTACTTACCAACTTTACTTACCTACTAACTCGAAACAGCTGCTTACCAGCCTACTTGTTACTGTTATTCTTAGGTGTTGTTTTTATCCGCTGGGACTGAGAGCGTGAGATGATGTTTTTTGTACTCCAGCGTAGAGGGAAGGAAAGGGGGGGGGGCATGTTTTTTGTACTCCAGCGTAGAGGTTACTGTTAGTCTACTGACGCTTACAAACTCCACCCACAAATTTACTCACTGACTCACCCACTCACCTTCTCAATCACTCACTCACTCACCTTCTCGAACACTCACTCACTCACTCACACACTCACTCTCTTAGTTGCTTACTCACTCACTCACTCACTCACTCACTCACTCACTAACCCATCCACTCACTCACTTACCCAAGAAAGGCTTCAGCGATTAATTTCCTCTCTTCGGCACATCATTTCTCTCCCACCTTTCTCCACTTCCCATGCGAAGGCCCCCCTCCTTTCCTTTCCACTTCTCACTCCCTTTCTAGTTCAAAGAGCTACCACAATCGTGGGGCACCGCCGGCTGTCACGTCATTTTGCCGATCACTGGTCGCAGACGGAAGTGGAAAATCGCTTAGGCCGATTAGGATACGCCTATTTAATTCACTTTCTCACTACTCATGCATTGATTGAACATGAATAATTGGTGATTGGCGTTGAAAACATCTCATTTTTCACCAAGCTGCAAAGATCAAGAGGCATGGACAGATTTTAAACGCAGATTTTTAGGCGTGTGAATGCATGCGCTGACGAGTTTAGATGTTTCTTTAATTTTGTCTTCTTCGACATCCACAAACCTACAACATAATCGTTGTTTCAGTATGGACGGCTGCAGCTTACATGCTTGTTTCACTCCACACTCATATCGTAAACCGATGTCTTTCTGTCCTTTTTTCAGATACCATTACTTCCAGTCGCACGACTTTGACGGCAACAAGGCGCTGGATGGCATGGAGATGCTGAAGGCCGTGCTGCACGTCGCGCCGGAGAAGGTGATCGACATTTCCCGGGAGTCAGCCGGCGTATTGTTTGCTGAGGAACACTCATCCTGAGTCTTGGTTGCCGTAAATTACAAAAAGGTCGCATGTTTTTCTAAAGTTGCTATTTGTGTAATGCTCGTGTGCACATAATATGCTTATCTGTATTGTAATGTAAAGCCTAAATGACAGCGTATACACTATACAACACCTAAAGGTACAGCCCGTATTGTATCATGCAGGGCACTAAAGAGTCATGTATATTGGCCTGTATGCAAAAGGACTATAAGAATAGCCAACATTATTATGCCCCTATTACTGTACACCTACACTGCTTTTAACAAGAGATCAGAGATCTCGGAAAAATGAAAATGGTGGAAAGGCAAAAAAGAAAAGAAATTGCGTTAACAAGAGCTCAAACATTTTAAACCTGTAGAATGGAAGTAACTATGTAGATCTGTATCATTGTTAACGCAGAGATATTTCACGACACCGGTATTCTAATGCTCATTCAACGTTCGGCAGACTTCAAACATGGAAGCCACCGAAGATATACCCAACAGCGATTCAGAGCAAGACCAAGGGAATATCAACGATCCTTCAACAGCGCAGTTCTACGTCGGTAAGCTACATCAACGCAAACGCTCTATGAATTTTAATTTCCCTATTCATACCTTTATACGTAACAAATGTAGGTAGGTATAGGTGCATTTCTGAATGTGGTCAACAAACTGCAATTTTATTTGTAGTACGATACTGTACCAATGCATCGTTAATTTTATACAATTTCTCTGATGCCAAATTTCTGACTATACCTTTCACTTATACCTGACATCAATTACACCTCGCCGTTTCGGGCATTTTTTTCGTGACGCGGAGGCGGCGTGGGGTGGTAGGTGCGAACCTCTCCCGCTGGCGTTTCGTTACTCAATGACGTAGGGGAGAGTGGGGTAATTTGGCCGCTTTTTTAGAAAACGATGTAACTTAAAATTGACGACACATTTCTGCATTTTCTCAACGCTGGCAGGTGTCGCATTCATTTTACTTTACTGGACAGTGAACTTGAAATGATAGAGTAATTACTTATATTGAAATTGTGACGTATTACAAAGGTCTGCAAGGCGGCCAAATTGCCCCACTAGCAGGGTTATTTGGCCGGGGGTGTGGGGCAATTTGGCCGGTGTTAGTTTGCGGTCAGGATTTTCTGTTATATTGCGAGTCAGCTTCAGATTCAGCAATGACGTGTGTCCTATGACGCATTTACCACATTTTGGAGGTTGACTCATGGGGTCACAGGGGTCAAAATAGCCAAATTAGCGGCTCTAGATGCGAAGACAGTTTTTTACGAATAACTTTTGAAGTAATCAAGCTAGGCCAAAACTTCGAGTACCATCGTAATTCTCTCGTCATTCCGCATCGAAACATATATGTGTTGACCTCGAGCAGTCAAGGTCGAAGGTTGACCTCAGGTCACGTTACCTCAGGTCGCTTGACCTCAAGGTCACGTGATTTCAAGGTCATCATGCATATCATTCGATGCGCCTTGGCGACCTGAACAGAATGAGACCATTTGTGCGGCTGTACCATTTTTATGTAAGGATTTATTAGCAAAAAACGTTTGGTAACCTTTGATGACGTCACATGCTCATACAGTTGACCAATCGGAAGTAAGGCATCAAAGTAGTCAAATTTGGTCATAAATTATGTCATTTATGGTACATTTGACCATGAAAACTCGGCCGTCCCAGCATAGTGACCATGAGCGCACCGGCCAAGTTGCCCCGCTAGTCCCGGCCAAATTACCCCATATTGCCATTCTGAAAATTTTTGTGTATAAAGTCATCACGGCTATAAGGAATTAGATGAAATTGCTCTTGGAACCGCTGAACACCCCCAAGAATGGCGCTATAATGTCTGAATTCGTTTTTAGCCCAAATACTACATGTTATACAACTTTGTAAACAGAAGTAGAAGTTGTCATTTTCTAATGAAATTAACGTTTTATTAATTTTGAATAAAACTACGAGGGGCAAAGTTTTGACATTTGTCCTCCAGTTATTTCTACCCATGACCAATGAATAGAGACTAGAGTTATTTCACTCACTTTTATTAGACATCGTACAGGTGGGGGCGGCCAATTTACACCACCGGCCAAATTACCCCACTCTCCCCTAGAGAAAATCTTGACCAAAAATCAGCTCAACTTTTCATGATAAGGAGTTAGTAGAGAAGATAAATATTCAAATTTGCCTATTAGATTATTTTGTTACTTTCGGGAGCGTCCAAGGGAATGCAGCGGCGAATTTTGCGATGACCAGTAGTCAACGTGTGCAGTCCAGCTAGTGTATTTGAATAGCCTAGACATCAAATGACTCCCAGCATCCATCTGTAAAGGTAATCAGCAGGGTGAGGTGAATAGTACTTTATTCGCCTATTCCCAGGTGTGATTGATCGAGTTCTCGGTGAGGGAGACCTGAACAAGGACGGCTTCCTCAGCTACCCCGAATATGTGCTGGTCAACCGCCGGGCGCAGCAGCGGCAAAACGACGAACTCATGCAAGATCCGTCGTGACAGCGGCGAAATGTGTGTGTGTGTGTGCGTGTTTTTTTTTTGCATATCGCCTTGTGTATATTGTCTGCGTGGAAACCGAAGATGACCATTTGATCATATGATATGGTTGATACCAAAGCAAATTGGAAGTGATTGTTAAAAATGATAGTAAAAGTTCATGCTGTATACTGTACCCACTGTGCAAATGCATCGAATGGAATGAAATATATTGTGTCGACCACGACAACCGCCATAAGATAAGGGAGGGAAGGAAGAGATTAATTCAAGAACTATCCCGATTCTTCATATGATTTCCAACCGTCTTGGACGGCTTGTCTCCGCTGTAAGCTCCTCTTCAGAGACTTCTCTCCGCTGTAAGCTTCGTTTGATTCCATCATTGGCAAAAAGGCTTTATAAGCACCACCCTGATCGATCACTAGTCACTAAGCTGATCGATCGCTAGTCACTACTACGAATCCGGCCACCGATCACTTATCACTACCGACTGGATGACGATCAGTAACCACTAACGCCCGGCTGACGATCACTAATCGTGACCGCCCGATCGCCACAGCGCCACAGTTCCCCTGCCGTGAACCCACTGACGTGACGTGACGTGATGTGACGTCTGGTGACGTGACAGGCGGGCAGCGCCCCCCGCACGGCGTCGGTGACGGACGTCGACCGTTGACATATGAACACGTGGCCCTCTGTTCACACTGAACCGAGCAGTCAGTGACTCTCTGTACCGAGCTGCCTACACGGGAGCGGCCAGTGACTGCGTCCAGCTGTCTACACGGGAGACCCTGGTGGCTTCTGTGCTGCGTCGCACACACACACGAGACCTGAGTGGCCCGATAGGAACCGAGCGGAGAGTGCGGAGACGCTGATAGAACTAACTGTAACGACCTCCAGAGGGCACTGGCACAGCCGAGTGCGACTACACTCACCTAGTGATAGCGTCCCGGGATTAGAATGGTGCCCAAATGGTGTGTCCTGCTGGTGCTGCTGGTGGTGACGGTGGTGCCCGCGGCGGCCGAGTGGGACGAGGAAGAGGAGCACCACGAGCAGCACCATCACCAACACATTGACCTGGAGCACCGCGAGGAGCACGCTGATGATGACATCTTCCAGACACTGGGCGAGGACGAAGAGTGAGTAGCGGCGATATCGCAGAGCGGAGAGTAAGTGAAGGGTGGGAGTGGGAAGGACGATGGATGAATGATCGGAGAGTGAGTGGCAAAGGGAGTGTGTACTGTGTAGGACGGTGAGAGAGTTGACAGAGGGAAGCGAGAGTGAATGCGGGGAGAGAGTGAAGAAGGCGGGAGTGCAACCATAAAACAGGAGTAAGATAGCAGCTGAGAGGATGAGCAGATCTGAGGGGCGGGAAGTGTGGGAGTGACTGGTGGGATTGAATATCGGTGAGGAGCTGGGAAAGGATGAGTACGACGAAGTAGGAGAACCGTGGCAGAACCAACTGAATAACGGAGCAGACCCCAACATGTTGCGTTTCTTGTCAGAGGAAGGGGAGGAGTGAGTGTGGTATTATAATACCTCACTACAGCAGCATGGATGGAATCAAAACAAAATTAACTTTTACAGGCACGTCAAAGAGCATTTGGAGGAGGCATTTTCGGAAGACGACAAGAAGAAGATGACTCCCGAAGAAGAAAAGTACCATTTCTTCAGGTGAGACGTTGTCAAGATACATCTTTATTGGTTTATCCATCAGCTATCCGACGTAGGTTCGTACCCGCTCAGCGACTAGAAAGACTACAGCGAGTCGGTACTTGATGTCCTCACTCCTCATCGCTTGTCCATTCTGCATTCGTAAAAAATAATAAAATCGATCAAGAGATAGAATTTGAAAGTAAAGACGCACAGCTAACGAAAACGAGTCCATGGACACTTACAACCCATGCCAGCGCTAAACTTTAAAAATTACTCGGACTCTTGGCATTTTCTTGATTTTGTCGTTTATCCACCGTTGGATGCAATTCTTAAAAGAAATGTTGTGGCCTGTAGGTCTACAAAAACTCATTCCGTCACCTCCCGCTGCTGTCCCCAGACAGCACGACGCGGACCACAACAGTGCACTGGACGGTCTGGAGCTGATGGCCTCCCTGTTCCACGTCAACCCGTACCACGTGACACACCTGACCTCAGAGGCCACCGAGGAGCAGGTGCGGCAGGCGGCCATCAATGACGCCGACTACAACGCCCGACTACTGAACGCTATTGCAGGCGAGTAACTGTTGTTGTTGTGGACGAGTCGGGGGGGGGGGACTATTGTGGACGAGTCACGGCGGGGGGGGGGGGGGGTCACCTATCTGTGAGGTCACGAGTCAACTCTCCCGACTTGCCCACAATAGCCCCTATTGTAGGCGATTCAGGCGAGGTGCTACTGTGAGCGAGTCGAGAGAGCTGAGAACCTACAGGAGAGACACATTTGTGGGCGAGTCGGTCGGACTGGGCCCCAACGGAGACTAGGCCGATGCAAGAAGTTCAATGAGTAAAACGTGGATAAAAACGTGCATGAATGCATAAAGTGAAAACGTGGGTAATGGACTAAAAGCAAAAATAATATCAAGAGATGTTGAATAAGTTGCAGCGCAGACGGGAAGCGTAGGTGTTGATTGAATGGACGCCTGTGTACGTATGCTGCACCGCATAACAGAAGTGTAATGAGATTCATGTCTCTAGATGGCGCTAGTTACTAGCGCCTGAAGATATGCTGTGCCGGATGTCATAGTTTGAAACGTGAGACCGACTGGTTTTGTAATCAAAGCAACGTTATGCGTTAGGACACTCGTGTATAAGGTCAGGTAGTAGCCTTTGCCTCTTGTTCTGAGACCGTGGCCGTTCCTGTTTTCAGGTATAATCGACAAGACGCTGGACAAGTTCGACTGGAACCAGGACGGTCAGCTGGACTACACAGAGTACATCTCGGGCGCTGTCAACATGTTCACCAAGCAGAGCGACCACCACGAGGAGCAGGAGCATCACGACGACCAGCATCAGCAACAACAGCAGCAGCAGCAGCAGCAACAACAGCTGCAGCAAGCTCCGCCACAAGCTCCGCCGCCGCCTCCTCCACAGCAGCAGCAGCAGCAACAAGTCTATCAGCATCAGCCTCCAGTGCAGCACCAGCAGCCGCTCTACCAGCAGCAGGCGCCGCCGATGGTGCCCCAGCAGCAGTATTACCAGCCGCAGCAGTATCACCAGCAGCCAGCACCGGTGGCCCCTCCGCCACCCCAGCAGCAGCAGCAGAACACATACCAGCACCCGCCCATGGTACCGCAGCAGCACTACGGCCAGCAGGAACATCACTGAACGGCACTGGAGGGCGTCGACTGTCGGTTATACGATTGAAGAAATGTCCCAGCGGTGTCCGCATAAGTTGTCACTCGTCCATCGAATAAAACTAGCCATTTGAAGGTATGGGCGATTCCGGTGGTGACTGAGCTCATGTAAAGACATGCCAGTGTGAAAAACGACATTTTTAACCCTCGCCCGTAAACGGCGATCTGCCACCTTCGCCCATGCAGGGGGGGGGGGGTTGGTGCGACCCCCCCCCTTGGCGTTTGAAAACGGAGCGTCGTAGAGCTTAGCGGAAAAGACCAACGGATTGCTCTCGCCGAGATCTCGCGATTGGTGGTATATTTTTTGGTCCTAGGTCAACATTTGACCTACTTTTGACCGGTCAAAGGTCAAATTTTCGGAAAAATAGACTTTTTTCAACTTTCCGCGGCGATTGCGGCAAAACGGTGGGAGATATCGACTTGAAACCTTCACTATCGTGTTCCTTGATCAATTCTCTATCGTTTGGTATGTATTTCGTTTCCCTAGCTCTAAAAATGGCGCGTTGGGAGCGCCGGAAGTCGGCAAGGTCACAGTCGGCGGCAGAAATTTGAAAAATCAAAATTTAAATTTTTGAAATCTGATTGTATTTTTGGATTTGGGAGGTCCATTTGCTCCCTATAGAAGCTAATATTGCTGCATATTCCCATTGAGGTGACAAGAATTAGCAAAATAGTGGTTCGGGCGCTTTTCAAAAATAGTACCGGACGCTGTTCCTCTTGTGACGTCATAGCTCCGTGACCTGACCTGACCCGGTCAAGTTTCTTATACCATATGATAGCCAATACTTGCCCCAACATGCATGGGAAGTTTCATCACGATCCATCAACCGATCTCCGTACCACCGGCAGGAAACCTCGGGCGTTGGCACTCAGTTTGTGAAAATCCGGCCGGAGGCTGTTCCCTTTGTGACGTCATAACTCCGTGACCTGACATGACCCGGTCAAATTTTTTTTATCAAAAGATGCGCAAGGTTTGCCCCATAAGGTACCCAAAATTTGGTGGCGCTGTGCGCCGCCGTTTTTGCACTATTTCCGAAAAACCTCAGGGGGGGGGTTGCACCAACCCCCCCCCCCCTACCTACAGGGCGAGGGTTAAGGAACAAATTCTGGTGGCGTCGCCCCGTATGCACATGTCGAGCTATGTATTTTTAATTAAAGTGACCATCCCACCTTAATATTAGTTTTGAGTTGAGATGGCCAAATTGGTGGCCATGACCTGCAAATACCGGTTTGGGCACTCACAGCATCGAAAAATGCTTTAATTCGGATATGAAATTTCAAACTTGCAGTTTTCGGATTCTAAGGGGATAATGCATTGGAATACCCCTTAGAATTTGTGACGTCAGCGGAGATCTAACGATTTTTAAATCTTAGACTAAAACCATCGTTAACAAGTGGTGGTTTACACTGCTTTGCGCGCAACGTCTGCCGCACTTTGAGGCTGCCAAATTATTGCTTCCAAATAAGTTCGCTAGGAACAGCGGAGATCCCAAAAAATAAACAAAAGTAAAAGCCTAATATCTTGAAAACCAGTGAATATTTTTCGGTGAAATTTTCGGTGAAATTCAAGATTTTTCGGTGAAATCTTGAAAACCAGTGAATATTTTTTTTCTGTGAAATTTGGTAGATATTCATTTTTGATCTTTCCGAACCAAGGGCTTCAATTTTATGCCAATTCATTAACTTTTTTTAAGGTGGGAGGGTCCCTTTAACAGTCCAGGGCGTTACGCAGTTAGACGTATGCGCTGTGCACCAACCGTCCCGTGATGACTCACGGCAAATGTTGTTAGAATAGATTGGAGAGCTAAGAAAACTTTTCAGAGTCCAAAAGTCACATTGCTTAATATTTTAAAGACTGAAGAAGAAATGCGCGTTTCGAAATACTTAGATGTACGTTCATAGAAATTAGAATCGGTCGATTTTCTAGCCCCCTGATGCACGTAATACACGACGGAACACACATTTTCTACAAACGAACCTTTATTTACCTAAAGGTAGCGCGATATAACGAGCGTAGCAAACCCTTAGCTATTTTACCACTCAAGCCAGCCATCGCAAAGCCGGCAGCACCGTCTAAAAACAAAATCACAAACGAGTTTCTGCTTCCTTCCGCATATTTAGGTATCTCTCTTCAGAGAAACTTACATGAAAGGCCAGCACCTCAATCCCGATCACGAGCCTGCGTTGTCCGTCTCTTCTTCCGTGATCGGTGCCCGCGTAACAACCATCCCCTTCTCCCAGAGAGCCGCCGCGAACGCCACCTGTCGGCCACAAACGGAACTAGCGTCAGCGACAGAGCATACGATGTCGACAGCAGCGTTTGCATTTTAGGTGGAAATTAACCCACTAGTGGCGCTAGTTACTAAGGGAAAAAGGTGTGGCCTGTAACATCTCATTTCAATTACGCAGTGGTCATTCTCAAGTATTAATAACAGAACACTTCTTGAACCGATTTCTGTTAGAACGAATGTGATTAGCACCCTTGGATCTAGTATTTGATGCACTCTGGCTGATTATCATACAAGAAGTTCGACCAGTCATTCCCTCTTAACTGGCGGATCCAGGGGGGGGCCACGGGGGCCATGGCCCCCCCCCAAAGGCCTAAAGTGGCCTGTTTGGCCCCCCCCCCAAAACGTCAGAAAAATTGCTAAGAAAATATACCTTGATAGAGGTTTTTAGCCACTTGGTGAAGTAAAGCTTTCCACAGCATAATATGGAAGCAATATGGTAGCAGTGAGGGTCAGTCAAAAGTTGCGCGAGCGGAGTCGACCTTCAAAAAAAGACTGTTGTTGGCACGTGTTTATGGCGCGGCAGCTGGTAGTTGGCGGTGTTTCGCGTGGTGTGGCATCACTGGCGGATCCGGGGGGGGGGGGGCACGGGAGCCTGAGGTGCCCCTAACAGGCCCGTGGTGCCCTTGCTAGGCCTGTGGTGCCCCTGGACCCTGGCAGGCCTGTGGTGCCTCTGGCGGGCCTAGGGTGTCCCTGCTAGGCTGCTGATGCCCCTGGGACCTGACAGGACTGTGGTGCCCCTGACAAGCCTAAAGTGCCCCCAACAGGCCCGTGCTGCCCCCAACAGGCCCAAGGTGCCTCTGCGTGATGCCGTGATGCCTGCGAGGCCAGGCCGGTGGTGCCCCTGCGAGGCCGGTGGGGCCCCTGACAGGCCCATGGTGCCCCTGCGAGGCCGGTGGTGCCCCTGGCAGGCCTGTGGTGCCCCTGCTAGGCCGCTGGTGCCCCTGGGCTCTGACAGGACTGTGGTGCCCCTGACAGGCCCAAGGTGCCCCTGCAAGGCCGGTGGTGCCCCTGTAAGGCCTGTGGTACCCCTGCTAGGCCTCTGGTGCCCCTGACTGGCCCATGGTTCCCCTGCGAGGCCGGCGGCGCCCCTGGCAGGTCTCTGGTGTCTCTGACAGACCTGGGGTGCCCCTGACAAGCCTGTGGGGCCCCTCACAGGCCCGTGGTGCCCTTGCTAGGCCTGTGGTGCCCCTGGCGGGCTGGTGATGCCCCTGACAGGCCTGTGGTTCCCCCGGGCGTACCAAGGGGGTCATGACCCATGTGGCCCCCCTTGGATCTGCCACTGATACATAATGTATATTGATTTGTAAAGGCGTTATGGCTTATGCAATATGCAATTGCAGGCACTTGGTATCCCTCTTTTATCCCTCATTGGGGGCTCTGGCGGACTCCCGAGGGCCCACGTCTATCTCCGGGAGCCCTAGACAGGCTCCTTTGGGTCCTTTCAGTCCACTATAGCATAAGAGGTCTCCATGCGAGTCCTATACATCTGAGGGCGTACCCTGACGTCTGAGGTACCCAACTGCAGCTCCAATGGTCTCTTACACTGGCGGATCCAGGGAGGGGGCATTTAGGGCCATGCCCCCTTCCCAGAGGCCTTAAGTGTCCCGTTTGCCCCCTCCACCAAACGATAATGAAACATAGTTCAATCAGTGCGTGGCCCAGGAGCCGAGTTAGACAGGGGGTGTTTTACCACCTTCCGGCCCGCAAATGGAGCCAAGCACTGACTCGAAGCGGGTTAACTGGTCGACAAAAGGAATGGTAAGTGTTTACAAAGTAATATAAAGGCATGGGTCGGGTGGGCTACCATTTATATATTTTTCTTTTTAGTTAAAAAAAAATATTCATAGTGTCAGGGCTGTGACGAAAAATAAGTGGCCTAAATCCGATGAGAAAACAGGATTTGGGGGTACCCTAGGTTTGACTCCTGCATGAGTTGGCCCCCCCCAAAACGCAAGCCTGGATCCGCCAGTGTGACCCTCTACTCCTCCACACATACCTTGGCCTCCGGTTCGGTGCCGGGCAGCAGGTCGATGGCGGTGTACCTCGGGTAGTTCTCCAGCAGCACGGAGACGGCGTCGGCCTGCTCGTCGTCGCCGATCACCAGGTACTGCTCGGGCATCTCCTGATACAGCCGAGAGTTCTCCAGGCAATGGTACAGCCGCAGCTCGTCACCTTCGTTCACCAGTCTGAGGGGAGGGAGGGGAGAGGTCGGACGGAGGGCAGGGCGACACAAAACATGGGAAACTAGCCGCTCAGTGTCCTTGCTTTCCACAGGATCAGCTCATCCACATTCTCACGCTTCTCTGTCCGGACTGGTGGTCATCTCATCAGACCTTCAAGACATAATTTCTATACAATCACTCCCCTAGCCGCCAAAGTCCAGAGAAGACCACGGATTACGGACCGTTCCTCTCGGTACTGACCGTACGACGTTTCCTCGGATCAGTTTGATCTCAGTGGAGCCGTCCATGGTAGCCTGGCCACGGACAGCGCCGTCCGCCCACCGCTCGCCGTCCTCGTGCACGGAGCGACATCTCTCGTCTGAAAACGAAACTACAGGTTACGGCCGACGTCACCAGTCCGGCGAGGCGACATCGTGGCGCTCTCCCTTGGTAAAACATTGAATCAAAATGAATATGTGCTTTTATAAAATAATGTCCATTCGAGCATAAATACAAATAACTCCTAATGTCCCTATTCGACTTTCATCACCAAAAGGAATTTAACCTAGACGATTCCATCATCATTTCATCCACAACTGTAAGTTCACCAATGACAATGACAATGCAATCCCTCGACCTTCAGTCCTTTGGGTGCCATCACCTCTGACCTTTGGAGAGGCACGGTGGCAGTGCGTCTCGCATGAACTGCTTGCCCATCTGATCGACTGCCGCGTCCACCGGCAGAAAGTCGGCCAGTCGGGTCACCAGCCGGCGGGCGGTGTCCAGAAGCTCCTTCCTGTATCCGCAGCAAAACAGAAACAGAGGAAGACGGGTCAGATCAGGGGGGGGGGGCAGGGTAAAACGTGAAAGGGGCAACACAGATCTTGTCTGAAAGTAGCCTAACGGATAACAAAAACAGTAGATCATGGTGTTTTATTTACGAAGATTGCTACAACGTCTAAAATCTGTTCATTGCTAGCTGTTAAGCATCGACCACGTGCATACCAATAACAGCTGAACACACCCAGCCTGTGGTAAAGGTAGACCCTGTTTCTTAGATTATACGAGTGAGGTTCCCAAGCATCTCAACTCTTCGGACTGCCTGATGACACCGTTTCAGGCATCCCTTCCTAACGCCTCGGTTGGGTGGGACAAGTTCTAAGCTCCCTGCGGGATGAGAGGTACCCGCTTCTTACGATCAGCGTCTCACCTCTGAGTGGAGGTGCTCTCGTCGTTCACGATGCCGGCGTGGCCGAGGAATCCGACGGGCAGCCCGCGGCGGAATTCCACATCCTCAGAGATGGCCGTCTGTAGTGCTACGGGCACCATCCTGCGGAGAACCAGCACACATGGGGATAAGAGGAGGGCACGGATAGGACATAAAGCGCGACAAAATGGCATTTGTCAAAGATCAGACGTGTTGGCATGTTATATTCAAGCGAAGAAAACGAGATTGAATAAAAATAATGTTGTATGATGACTTTGAAGATATATTCGCACAAATCAATCTAACCATGGTATTGCGAGTACGAGTGCACACAACACATGCAGGGTAAGCGGGCACCTACACGACGTGGAAATGTAACGACAGAATATGTGACAAAGTCAACGTCTCCCCATATCCAGCCAGTACCCGGTGAGTCCGACCCCCCCCCCTGGGGCTCACTTTTCTAGCAGGTCGGCCCAGGCCACGTGCTGGTAGCAGGAGATGGTGATGTGCATGCTGTGTTCGTCCGGCAGCGAGCGGCCCTGGTGGATCGTACCCCGAGGAAAGTACAGCAGGTCACCGGCCTTCAACGTCACGTCCAGCACCGGCGGCGACGTCACGTCCTCCGGCCGGAAGTTGCCAGATGAGTCACGCGCCAGCTCCTCGCCCGGCCTGGCAACATAAGAGCGATTGGAGATTGTTTGATGGGCCCTGTTACGTCAATAACATTTTAACGATTGTTCTTGCCGGGTATCGTAAAAGGGGCCAGTTACTTTAAATGACTGTATTCGAAATTCGTAAAACTATTAGCCAAGTGTCGATACAAATTCACCTCGTTTCACCTCATCCATCATTCACCCAGACTGTTCTACATTTTTCATAATTTTCCATCATTGTTGGATTTCATGTGAAATCTGCACGGATCCTCCTCATAAGGATAATTGATTGGCACTTTCAGAAATAACACCCTCCCCCCGCCAACGGAGCGGACCAGGCGCACACGAGCTCATGACCCGGGCGCCTCCTCCAGCAGGCAGAGCCGCCGGGCGGGGCGGTGCACTTCTCCTCCACGGACCAGTACGCGCGCCGACCGGACGCGGCCATCAGGCCCAGGAACTGTCTCGGTCACGCGTCCCAGGGGCCACTGGCCGCGCGGGCTGCCGTTCTCCACGATGAGGACGAGATCCCCCACTGCCAGGCTGCGACTTTCCGATCTCCACTTCGGTCGGCATGCCAGACCTGGTACATACTCTCGAAGCCATCTCCGCCAGAACTGGTCTGTTAGCGCCTGGCTCTGCCGCCAAACTCGTGTAGAGCAGCTCTCTTCGTCTCGGAACAATCCTGGAGGCAGGCGCCTGACCGGACGCCCCAACAGCAGATGATTGGGCGTCAGTGCCTCCAAACTGTTCGGGTCTGTCGACACGTGCGTGAGTGGGCGGCTGTTGACAACTGCTTCCACTTCAGTCAGAACAGTGTGCAGTACTTCCTCGGAGACAAGCAGCCGCCCGCGGACAGCTCTCAGCGCGCGTTTGACAGTCCCCACCATCCGTTCCCAGGCGCCGCCCATATCACAGGCAGCCGGTGGGTTAAAATGCCACCGGATGTCGTGTTGAGTGAGCTCATCGCTGATAGTGTGCTGGTTCCATTGTCGCAGCTGCTGGCGTAGCTCTTTCTCTCCAGCTCGCAGACACGACCCGTTGTCACAGAAGACGTCTGATGGCGGACCACGTCGTGCGATATATCTGCGGAAGGCCATCAGGAAGCTGTCGGTACTCAGGGAGGATGTCAGCTCCAGATGGACCCCGCGCGTGGAGAGGCACGTGACCAGCATACACCACTTCTTCTCGATTCGTCCTCCATGCACCTTGATCTTTAGAGGACCGAAGAAGTCGAGCCCAATTGAACTGAAGGCGTACTTCGTGTCGAAACGTGCGGTCGGCAAGTCGGCCATGCGGGGCTGACACGGCTTAGCTCGGCGTCGTCGGCAAAGAGGGCAGTCAGCCACTACCTTCTTGACTTCTTGCCGGGCGCGCGGCACCCAGTAGGCCTGACGGAGCTCATTTAGGACATGTTCGGTTCCCGCGTGCATCAGTCGTCGATGAACTGCGTCGATGATGAGCCTCGAGATGCAGCTACTTCTCGGGAGGATCACAGGGTGGCGGGTCTCTTCTGGCATAGGAGCATTAGATAGCCGTCCGCCGACTCGTAACAGCCCCTCTGAGTCTAGCATTGGAGTCAGCTGCAGAAGACTGCTTGACGAAGGGAGCTCCTTACCTTCGTTCAGTGCATCAATCTCTTGAGCAAATGCCTCCCGTTGGGCACATCGCACCGCCATGTTTTCTGCTTCGTGTAGCTCCTCGACGGATAGTGGCTCCCGCTCGAGAGCGTTTGGCTGTGCGACCTGAGACTTCAGCACTCTCAACATGTTCCTCGTGAATCGCAGAATCCAGGCGACGGTTCTTTGGTAGCGGACCCATTTAGAGAACCGTTGTGGGTCAGGCAGGGTAAGGGTGGCCAGCCGGGTGCTGTGTTGTGTGACCATCACGGTCTTAAGCTCTGGATCCTCATCTTTCAGTGACAGCTGCTGGTCTGGTGGCCAGGCATCTTCTGACTGCCACAAGAAGTCGGGTCCCCTTATCCATCGGCTGTCTCTCTTCAGGTCGGAGGCTTTCGATCCCCGCGAGCAGTCGTCTGCTGGGTTGAGCTCGGTCGGCACATGACGCCACTGTCTGGGCTCAGACACGTCACGGATCTCGGCCACACGATTAGCAACGAACGTGTGGAAGCGCCTGCTGTTGTTCTCGATGTAGCTGAGGACGACTTTGCTGTCGCTCCAAAAGACCGTGTCACTTTGATTCAAGTTCAGCTCCTGAGCTACTTGGGCCGCCAAGCGCACAGCCAGCACCGCCGCCTGCATCTCTAGACGGACGATCGTCAACCTTTTTAGCGGCGCCACCCTACATCGGCTCATAATCAAGGAGCAGTGGATGGCACCGTCTGCATATTCGTGCCTGAGGTAAGCGACTGCCCCAAAGGCTCGCTCAGAGGCGTCACAGAAGACGTGTAACGTCTTCGTGACTGTTATCTTGGTGTGTTGCTGATACGCGTAGCATCTTGGGACTCGAATCTTCTCTATTGACTGCAACTCTGAGATCCAAGCTGCCACTTCGCTGCACTCCTCGTCAGAGAGAGGGCTGTCCCAGGTGTGTTCAGTCGACCAGAGTGTCTGCAGTATCATCTTCCCCATAACCAGGAAAGGGCTCGCCAGCCCCAGCGGGTCAAAAATACCAGCGATAACCCGTAAAATCTCGCGCTTTGTAGTTGGCGTTGTCGGCCCGACATTCGTGACTGTCGGAGCACTGGGACTCAGCTCATCTAGCTCTGCATCCCACTGCACACCCAGGACCTTCTGTGTCGGTAGTGACGCGTTTAGATCTACGGCACCAGCCGCTCTGTCTTCCATCGAGATCCTCGCAAGTACCTCCCTGGAGTTGCTGTTCCATTTGCAGAGTCTAAAGCCTCCCCTGGAGAGCAGCGCCGTCACTTCTGCCGCCGTCTCTTGTGCTGTATCGTTGTCTGGTTCAGAGGTGGCCAAATCGTCCATATAGAAGTCTCTTTCGACAATTTCACGTGCTCTGCGTCCAGCTACAGTGTCATCACTCTTCTCTTGGGCTGTTCGGCGTAGTACATAGCTGGCTGATGCTGGAGAGCTCCGAGCACCGAATATTACCCTGTCCATTTGGTATATATCTGGCGGACGGGTGCTATCCAGATCGCGCCAGAGATAGCGGAGTGAGGCCTGGTCCTCAGCTCTCACAGCCACCTGCATGAACATCTTCTCTATGTCGGCGCAGAGACCAACAGACCCTAGACGGAAACGTAGCAGCACCCCTGGGAGTGATCTTAGGAGGTCCGGTCCAGACAGCAGATGCCCATTAAGGGAGCTACCTCCATAGCTGCTCGCTGCGTCGAAGACCACGCGGAATTTGCCTGGCTTGCTGGTGACTGCGTGATGAGGCAAATACCAGGTGCGGTCATGTTGTACCAGCAGTTCCTCATCATCAAGCTTCCGCGCATATCCTTTCTTCACATTTTCCTCCATACTCTGTTGGTACGCTGTCGCCTTCTCAGGAGCTCGGCGCAGAGTCCTCTCTGTGTTTTCCAGCCGGCGCATGGCCATGGGGTAGTTGTCAGGCAGCTTGACATTTTCGTCACACCACAGCAGCCCTGTCTCGTAGCGATCGCCGCGCCACGTGGTAGTCCTTGCCATGATGTCTTCAGCTCGCCGGTCTTCCTGCGATGTCGGCTCTTTCATGTTGTACGCAGTACCAAATGCCTCCGTTGACCACCAGTCCTTCAGCATAGTCACCAGCTCGTCATCAGCTGAGCGGTGCTTGGAAATGTGCATCACTTCTCGCTGGCCATGGGTCACCAGCTGAGCCACATTTCCGGTCAGACACCAGCCAAAGTGGGTTCGTACTGCCACTGGTTGTCCTGGCTTGCCGACTCTGACCTCCTGCTGCAGCATGGCCTCCAGAACATTGGCCCCCAGCAGCAGTTCAACGGCCTTTCCATTGTTGTCTGGAATCACTATGTCATCCAGATGCTTCCAGGCCTTCCTTTGCTTCCAGTCCACGCTTTGAGGACGCACATTCAGTCGGACGACAACTCTGAGATCCAAGCTGCCACTTCGCTGCACTCCTCGTCAGAGAGAGGCCTGTCCCAGGTGTGTTGTTCAGTCGACCAGTGTCTGCAGTATCATCTTCCCCATGACCAGGAAAGGGCTCGCCAGCCCCAGCGGGTCAAAAATACCAGCGATAACCCGTAAAATCTCGCGCTTTGTAGTTGGCGTTGTCGGCCCGACATTCGTGACTGTCGGAGCACTGGGACTCAGCTCATCTAGCTCTGCATCCCACTGCACACCCAGGACCTTCTGTGTCGGTAGTGACGCGTTTAGATCTACGGCACCAGCCGCTCTGTCTTCCATCGAGATCCTCGCAAGCACCTCCCTGGAGTTGCTGTTCCATTTGCAGAGTCTAAAGCCTCCCCTGGAGAGCAGCGCCGTCACTTCTGCCGCCGTCTCTTGTGCTGTATCGTTGTCTGGTTCAGAGGTGGCCAAATCGTCCATATAGAAGTCTCTTTCGACAATTTCACGTGCTCTGCGTCCAGCTACAGTGTCATCACTCTTCTCTTGGGCTGTTCGGCGTAGTACATAGCTGGCTGATGCTGGAGAGCTCCGAGCACCGAATATTACCCTGTCCATTTGGTATATATCTGGCGGACGGGTGCTATCCAGATCGCGCCAGAGATAGCGGAGTGAGGCCTGGTCCTCAGCTCTCACAGCCACCTGCATGAACATCTTCTCTATGTCGGCGCAGAGACCAACAGACCCTAGACGGAAACGTAGCAGCACCCCTGGGAGTGATCTTAGGAGGTCCGGTCCAGACAGCAGATGCCCATTAAGGGAGCTACCTCCATAGCTGCTCGCTGCGTCGAAGACCACGCGGAATTTGCCTGGCTTGCTGGTGACTGCGTGATGAGGCAAATACCAGGTGCGGTCATGTTGTACCAGCAGTTCCTCATCATCAAGCTTCCGCGCATATCCTTTCTTCACATTTTCCTCCATACTCTGTTGGTACGCTGTCGCCTTCTCAGGAGCTCGGCGCAGAGTCCTCTCTGTGTTTTCCAGCCGGCGCATGGCCATGGGGTAGTTGTCAGGCAGCTTGACATTTTCATCACACCACAGCAGCCCTGTCTCGTAGCGATCGCCGCGCCACGTGGTAGTCCTTGCCATGATGTCTTCAGCTCGCCGGTCTTCCTGCGATGTCGGCTCTTTCATGTTGTACGCAGTACCAAATGCCTCCGTTGACCACCAGTCCTTCAGCATAGTCACCAGCTCGTCATCAGCTGAGCGGTGCTTGGAAATGTGCATCACTTCTCGCTGGCCATGGGTCACCAGCTGAGCCACATTTCCGGTCAGACACCAGCCAAAGTGGGTTCGTACTGCCACTGGTTGTCCTGGCTTGCCGACTCTGACCTCCTGCTGCAGCATGGCCTCCAGAACATTGGCCCCCAGCAGCAGTTCAACGGCCTTTCCATTGTTGTCTGGAATCACTATGTCATCCAGATGCTTCCAGGCCTTCCTTTGCTTCCAGTCCACGCTTTGAGGACGCACATTCAGTCGGACGACGGAGAACACCTCTGGTACTGTGACCGTCTTGGCGTTACTTCCTGGGGACAAGGAGGACACTTGTAGACTCGTTCTGATCGCGAGTCTGTTGTCTCCGCTTCCTTCAACATTGGCCAGTTGTAGCTCCCTCCTGTCTCCGTCAATCCCTAGCTCCTTAAGCACGTGCTCCTCGCACAGACTCGTATCGGCACCGGAGTCCAACAGTGCGAGGGTATCCTTGTAGCGTCCTTCAGTTCCATGAATCCGGATTGGAACAAGTTGTAGCAAGGTGCGCTGACTTGTATGCGTCTCCGTCTGCGTCATTGCCATTACGTCACGGGCGTCTGCCGTCGCCGTCGGTCTTGTTTGTGCGGGATGAGGAGATTGCGCCGACGGTATATGGAGAAGGCGATGGTGTCTCCCCTTGCAGCCCCGCTCTCCACAGACTGTCCTGCTCGAACATTTGCTCAGCCAGTGGCCAGTACTGAGACATCGGAAACAGCGACGGCCACTGCGCACGATGTGACCGCGCTCCTCCGGTGTTTTCTCCAGAAAAGATGGGCATTCGGCGAGTGCGTGGGCGCCACTTTGGCACACAACACATTCAGCACTGACAGCCGCTCCTGAAGCAGTCGCTAAAGTTGTGCGCTGAGCTGAACTTGTGTTCCCTCTTGTGTCGCCCCGGCGCCTGTTCAGCGGTGCCGGTGTATGCGCTGATCTGGCGACACTGTCCTGTACCTTTGAGCAGAGCGCAGGCTGAACGCGGCGGCCCGCCAGCACTACTTTCCCAAGCCAAGAATCAATGTCCTCCAGAGTGGGTACGTGTGGCATCATTTCCACTTCTAACTGGCCCCACTGCCAGGCCAGCGTGCTTGGTAGCTTGGCTATCACCTGCTGCATTGAAGAGGTCGCGGCCAAATCCGCTTGGTAGCCCATGCTCTTTAGTACGCACACGGCCGTGTGCAGGGCTCGCGACAGACTTGTCAGGCCAGCGATATCGTTGTGCTTCACTACCGGGTGCTGAAGAATGCTGCTGAGTGTGCTCTGGACGACAGCAGTCGGGTTTCCAAATTGAGTCTCCAGCTCGCTCAGCGCCACTTCATAGAGCGACATGTCACAGAGCAGACCACGCACGGCTTCACGAGCGTCTCCCGTTCACGGGAGACCCGTTCACGTCTCCCGTGACGTGAACGGGTCTCGCCAGCTCCTGCAGTCAGGAGCTGGCGACCAGAGCAAGCTGGAGCCGGGGCCCGGACCTCGGGAGCGACCACCTACCCATGGTGGTCGAGCTCCGAGGAGTGTCGGAACCCCCACAACGCAGGCGCAAGACCCGGTGGGCCCACCACAAGGCCGACTGGCTGCAGTTCCGCGGGAGCTGTGAGGCGGCCCTCGCTGAGCCGCCCCTCCCGGAGGCCACGGTCCAACAGCTGTCCTCTCGCTTCACAGCCGCACTCCAGGAAGCCGGGAAGAGACACATCCCCCGAGGTGCTCGCCGAGACGCAAAGCCATGGGCCCTGCATCCGGATGTGTTGAGAGCGGCAGAGGAGCGACAAGCGGCGAGACGGGCTGTGACAGCCGAAGATCCCTCATCCAAGACGCGCTGGATCAATGCCAAGAAGCGTGCAGCAGAGGTGGAGGCACGAGTCTCTCGAGAGTCTTTCCGAGAATTCGTCACCACTGAACTGAACCGCCCGTCCAGCGTCGGTCGAGTCTCCCGAATGCTCAAGAAGTGGGAGGGAGGAGGAGATGACGAACACCGGGACGGCGAAGCGATGAAGGCCGGCGACCGACTTCTCGTCTCCGCCGAGGCAAAGGCGAACGCCTTTGCACATCAATATGCCACTGTCTCGAGGCAAGTGAGGAGTCCCAAGATAGACCGAGCGGCGCGGGAGCGGCTGAACCGGATAGACCGACACACATGCTCCGAGTGTCAGAACGACCGCACCGGGTGCTGCTCGGCCTTCACTGAAGAGGAACTCGCTCAAGCCATCCAGAAGACACAACTGCGCAAGTCCCCCGGCCCCGATGGCATCACACCTGAAATGCTGCGGCACCTTGGTCCGGTGGCCCGGAGCGCACTGCTCCACCTCATCAACCAGTCATGGAAGACAGGAGCGGTCCCCCAAGAGTGGCGCTCGGCAACCGTGGTACCGATACCGAAAGCATCGAAGGATAAGAGGCTCCTGTCAAGTTACCGGCCAATTGCCCTCACCAGTTGTGTAGGGAAACTCGCCGAGCGGATGCTACTCCCCCGGCTGGAGTTTCTGGCCGAAGAACGCCGACTCATCCCCCCCGAACAAGTGGGGTTCAGAGCAGGAAGATCGGCGGAGGACAGTATCGGGCGACTTGTGCAAGACGTGCAAGACGGATGGCAGAAGCCAAAGAGAGACAAACGGTCAAAACGCCAGGACGGAGAGTCAGCACAGAAATTCCTCCTGACAGCCTTCGACTTCAGTAGAGCGTATGACGTCGTAGACCACAAGTTACTGCGTCTGAAACTCCTCGAGAGCGGCCTCCCCCTCTGCCTTGTCCGGTGGGTATGGGGATGGTTACGCGACAGAAGAGCGAGGGTTGAAGTTCAAGGAGCCCTCTCCAAGTCGAGGTTGTTCCGCGCCGGGCTGCCCCAGGGCAGTGTTCTGTCGCCCTACTTGTTCCTGTTGTGGGCGGCAGACCTGGCCGAGGCCCTCCGAGCGCCGGGCACCTCCCCCTACATATACGCCGACGACACGGCAGTTCTATGCTCGGGCAACACCATTGAGGTGGCGAGAGGTCGAGCGCAGACAGCGGCAGACGCCCTCGTCGCGTGGGCTCATCACAACAAGATGCTGGTCGCCGGGGAGAAAACCCAACTACTGGTGCTCTCCCAGAACGCCCGAGACGCCGTCCGAGGCACCATCAAGGTGGCAGGAAAGACGGTGCAGGCGAAAGACACCCTAGTCCTCCTCGGCATAGAGCTCGACCGCCGCCTCCAGTTCGGTGCCCACTGTCGTCGTCTCCGGAAACGAGTTCGCCCCCGGCTGGCTCACCTGCGCCGCCTCGGCGGACGCAGCTGGGGCCTGGACGAGGATGCCCTGAGGACGGTGGCCAACGGCTACGTCCGCGGGGCGCTCGAGCACGCCGCCGCCGCGTGGCTGCCGGCGGCCGCCCCCTCGCACGTGGAGCTCCTGGAGCGGGAACTGCGGGGGGCGGCCCGCATCATCACCGGGTGCCCACGATCAACACCGACCCACGCGCTGATGGCGGAGGCTCGACTAGCCCCGATGGAGGAGAGGGGATGGACGTTGGCCGCCAGGCTGCTGGGAAGGGCGCTGGCCCTGCCGCCGGGGGACCCCCTGCGCGCGACCGCCGAGGCCTCGGCACCGGCGCGCCTGGCCTCAGTTCGGGGGTGGAGAGAGCGGGGCCGCCGGGCCTGGGAGAAGGCCGGTGTCGCACTGCCGGTGGAGCCGGTGCTCCCCCCTCGGATACCGCCGTGGCGGCAGTCATCAGGCGTCACCTTCAGGATGGACGTGGGCCCCCTCCGGGCCGGCGCCGCGGCGGCGGAAAAGGAGCGCGCGGCCGCCCTGCACCTCGCGTCCCTGCCGCAGTGCGCCGTCTGGCTGTGGACGGACGGGTCCGCGGCGGGCGGAGTCTCGAGGGGCGGAGCTGGGGCCGTGATGGTCTGGCCGGATGAAGAGACCGAGGAGCTGCGGGTCCCGGCCGGACAGCTATGTTCCAGTTACCGCGCAGAGATGGTAGCGCTGGTGACCGGCCTGGAGACCCTAACCCAAAGAGACAGAGACCAGGACCTGCCTATCGTGGTCTGCACGGATAGCCTCTCAGCAGTGGCGACCCTGCGCAACGGCCCGGCCGCCCAGACCTCCCCGCTGGGGGTAGCGGCTTGGAGAGCCATGTTCGCCCTCTCGGAGAATGGCCGGAAGATCCACGTCCAGTGGGTCCCCTCGCACTGTGGTGTGGAGGGTAATGAGCGAGCCGACAGAGTGGCCCGAGAGGCCGCGGAACTACCACAAGACAGCGTGCCTGCAGACATCAGGACAATCACCCGAGCGGTGGCTAGGGCCGCCCGCGACGACACGGTCCGGGCCTGGCCCCCCGGCTGGTTCCGGTCGCTGATGGGGGGCCGATTCCCCCCACCGGTGGCGGGGCTGGACCGGGAGCGCGCGGTGGACGTCCACCAGCTGCGAGCCGGGCACTGGTCGGGCTCCAGGGCCTACTTGCACAGGATCGGGGCCGTTCCCTCTGTGGGATGTGAGGGCTGCCGCGACGAGGGCTGTGTGGCGGCCCGCTGCCCCCTGTGCAATGAGGAGCCTGACACGCCGGCACACGTGCTGCTGAGATGTCCGGCGCTGATGCGACTGAGACATTCAACCCTGGGTCACATCCATCCCAGGCTGGAGGAGGTCCGGGAGACCTCAGTGGTGGCGGCCCTGGCGGCCGCCGCCAGACGCTTCCAGAGCCGCCTGGCTATGCTCCCGTGAGGAGCAGAGGGAGAAACAACAACAACAACAACAAGCGTCTCCCGTCAGGAACGACTGGAGGTGAATCATGCGCTCTGTGTCAGTCAGTGACGCATTATCATGAACCAGGGCTCGAAAGAGCGAGATCCACCGGGGCCACTCTAACGGAGACCCATCAAACATCCCAAGCTGTATCTTGGGCAGCGAGGCATGAACAGGAGCGAAGTTTGTGTTGGCTTCAACCCATCGTCTTGTGCGATGGCTTCGATCGGGCGATCTGTTTGCCGGGTTGTTCTCTTGATCGGGTGGACGAGTCTGGTTACTCCCTCCCGCATTTCCAGGCTGCGCTCCGGCAATACTTTGACACGCTGCAGCTGGCGTGTCACCAAGCAGTGGACACTGGACCCGCTGATCAGACTGCTCGTTCTGAGCGCGAGCCATCGGGGTCGGCGGCACAGGGCTCACCCTGTCAACAGCGCGGTCCATGGACGGCGGCTGGTGCTGCATGGACACCGGTCGCATTCCATCTTCATCTGCAGTGCCGACCGAATTTCGCAATCCAACCTCTTCTTCCAATATTTGAAGCTCCAGCGCGTCTACCTCCGCTTGGTCAGCTGCCTGTCGTGCTTCAGCTAAAGCCTCATCTCTTGCTAGTCTCGCACGAACCTCAGCTGCCTTAATCTTCTCGTCTGCCACTCGCTTCGCCTGTTCGGCTTTGAGCTGTGATACGAGCGCTCGCCTCCTTACCGAACTGCGAGTGGTGGACGTAGAGCTCATTTCAGCCTCACTTCGGGTTTTGAGACTTGCAGATGCAGACCTATCACCGCAAGCCGATCGTACACTCATAGTTACGTTACCTATCGAATCGCAGTCAATCAATTCCTTAACTGGTTACAGTTATTTTACGGTACTGTATCCGGCCCGGAGGACCATAATGTTACGTCAATAACATTTTAACGATTGTTCTTGCCGGGTATCGTAAAAGGGGCCAGTTACTTTAAATGACTGTATTCGAAATTCGTAAAACTATTAGCCAAGTGTCGATACAAATTCACCTCGTTTCACCTCATCCATCATTCACCCAGACTGTTCTACATTTTTCATAATTTTCCATCATTGTTGGATTTCATGTGAAATCTGCACGGATCCTCCTCATAAGGATAATTGATTGGCACTTTCAGAAATAACAGGCCCCGCCGGGGTCTTGGATGACGCTGAGGAACTTTGGGAGAAACGATGAGAAAACTCATTTTCTCTTTACATCACAGAACTGTTTGGTGATTTGGTGACCTAATATCACTTTCAAATTTCCCATCAGCGAAAATTCGGGCGATCTGGGTGTTAATCTTAATTTCATCGGTTACATAAAAGCACTTTAAGAGTATTTTCTTAGAATCTTGAAATTTTGAATTCGGCTTACGGGCCGCCACAAATATACTTGCATATAGGCCCGGTGAGAGTAGGTATTTTGTTCATTGTGCGTTATACATTGTGCGTATAGATTATAGATTATTCATTATTCATAGATTATTCATATATATATTATTCATTGTGCGTATGTATATATATTTAGAACGTAAATATAGGAAGTAGTTTGGAGAGAGAGAGAGAGAGTAATGTCATGTCGACATTGAATGAGTGGCAAAACATACTAACCTCGAAGTGCCATACAAATACGAAACAACTGGATTGACAGCGATGCCAAGAAAAGAAAGACGTCGGATGGCATGGCACCACTCTAAAATGGACGTTTTTTTATCAAATCACCCGGTGGAAGTCGTGCCTCCGCTCAAACCGGCCTTTCAGGACACAACAGTGCTGGTGTGGACGGTTAGCCTTCGCCCCAGTGCACAGTGGGGATTTTTCCGATCTAGCGCCTATTAATTCAAAAAATATTTTTTGGATTTTTGTTTATTTTTTGTGTCAGTAGGGCTAAGAAATGTCTGAATTTTTCATATATGACATTGTTTTATCTGTATGTCCACAGCAAAACTAGGAAAAATGCGCCCAAAGTTCACACTCATGCGTGATTACTCAATGGGCTCAGCAAGGCCCGAAAGTATAGCTCAATTTCATTGTCCTGTCCTGTTGGTTTTAATCTTGCGAGGTCTTAAAGTTGCATATCGTCTGAAAGGCACCTTTATTAGGAATTGAATGGCAAACAGAAAGTATGCCACAACCTTACTAAGGTCACAAAAATGCCCTTTACAAAAAACCCTTACAGACACCATATTGAAGGAATGGTATTCTAAATAAATGTAGGAAATCAACAATGTTCTCCACACTTTTCCACTCCGAAATATATCCTATCGAATTCGCCACTTTCTTCTGCACAAGACAACGCCTAGTTTGGCTGCCGAAACTTGCCTGAACACGGAATATTCACATTAGAGTATCTTAACACCCCACTCGAGGAGCGCTAGGGCAAACAGCACGATATAGGTATGTTCCGGACATAGGCGAATAATTTTACTTCGTGATTTATATGATGCATATTTTCTGAGACACATTCATTAGGAATAGGATGACAAACGTAAATTATACATACTGTAACCTTATTAACCATCGCACTTGTGGGGAGGGGGAGGGGGAAGGGGTCGGATAAAACCCCATGGTTTTCCGCAAATTACTCGCGCAAAAAGCGGCCGATCGCGCCGAAACTTTCGGTACCCTCGAGATCATCAATTTTACATCTAACCTAAAAATTTCATGACTCTGACCCAACTGACCTTTGACCTGTGGCATATTTCTCGAGACCATGTTTGGCCGGAATCGCGATTCGGCGTATGCCAGCTCACATTATCCGCGGTTTCCAGTCTTTTTGTGGTTTTAAACGTTCAAATATGTGAAATGATGTTGGTGCCATGCATAATGGTGGGTGTCAAGGTCACGTGAAGGTCAAGTCAAGGTCATTGACCTTTTGATGACCTTGGTTCACTTTTTCGAGTTTTACTTGTTTCTAGGGTAGTTTTTGGTGCTGATTTCGATTTTAGCAGCCATTTGAATATTTACGAAGTAGTTCTAGTGCCTTCGTTCCATGTTACGAAGCTATCAGTAGTAGGTGACACTTCTATGGATGGCCGGCAGGACGCCTACTAATTGATCTAACCTGACCTGACCCGACCTGGCGTAAATGCATAAAGACATCGTCTGTGATCAAAACTAACATGAAATTCGTGATCAGCACCCCAAAATACCCCGTAACACCCTAACTTTGCGAAGTTTCAAGAGGTCTCGATTTCCCAACTTTAGTTGGGTCATTAACCTGACTTGGAAAGTCAGCTTATGACCTTGGACTTTGAAATTGGATATATTCGGCCTAATTTCGTCATAGGCAGCACGCTTGACTTTTCCGCGAAGCTCTAGCTTGATCAGGGGCCAAACGGCTGAGCGGGGGTCCAATTGAACCCCCTATACTATGTTGATTATGCACATTTACAGGTAAAATTCTCACCAGGACACACCAGCCAACATCTGTGCACAATCTGGCTACAATTCTACCTATGGTTTGCCCTCTACGAATAAATACGTGCTAGATCGGAAAAATCCCACTGTGCAGTGGGGGGGGGGGCATATGTTATCACCCTGTCGCGTTTTTTGCGTGTGAATAAAAAACCGCGGCGCGTAGCGCCGCGCCGCTTGGGGTAGCTTTTGGTTCATCAATTTTGGGACAATGTGTGAAATTTTTGACCCCAGGTCATGTCAGGTCAGGTCACCAGGTCAAGTTAACTGACCAAGCCTAAAAAACAGTTTGCAATCATGTCCAGCCTGCAGTGTTCGTCAGAAAGGT